TTACTTGCCCCGGCCTAAGATTGTCGTTTCCTGAAAGTAAAATTATGACCAGTTCCTTCAATGTGCACCACAGGCCGAGAGTTTGGGTCTGATCTCCGACTTTCAAATATGTGCTCGTTTGGATAAGTCTGCGACCTTCCTCTAGTTTGCCCAACGTATTTGCAGTCCCCGTCATTGCAACTAAGGTCGTAGGAAACACACGAGATTTCAGTGAGTACCAGGGTGTCCTTAGGCTGCATAAAACTTTGAGGAATTGTTGCCTGCAGTTGACGGGCTACACATACGTACGTAGGCAGAACGTTCAATGTCATTACTTACGGAAAGAGCCGGACAAGACCATCAAACAGAACCTTAGAAAACCGCGAGAGCGCGGAACGACGACAAAGTCACTGGGCAAGGAGACAAGGAACCGCCAGACCGAACAACCCCCACAGAGGCTTAACCAGACCGCAGTCGATGCGATTGTCTATTACGCACGCAGTTGTAAAACTTGCCAAACATCCACCAAAACGACGAAACAGCAATATATGAAAAGGACGGTCAGCCCAAGATCGTTTAACGCCTTGACGCTGGTGGACCAGACAAGGTCCCCAAAATGTCAACAATCAAATAGATCGGTTCCTGTGCGTCTTTCCTTTTTTTCAAAAAATATTAAACGTCGCTTGGAATTCTCTTCTACCCATCTGCCCTAATTGCAATTACTGAATTTAGTTGGGACCACTGATGATTAGAGCCTTGGTTTAGCATTTACATATGCGGTCGATAATAATTGTTAATAATTGGCTTTTCCTGGCTAAACCATCGCCAGCAACTAATTCAGATCAAGCCTTCCAGGCAAACCCGACAAATCCTATTAACTGCAGCAACTGAGCCAGGAAGCCAATCCCTGATAGTAATCCCTCCCACTCTTAATTGTTTTCCCTTATGGACGGCATATTGGCTCACCAAAATAAGAGGCTTTGTGTGTTTTGATTGAACACAGCGAAAAGTATAGTCCACGTACGCAAGTTGATGTACATTTCTAAAAGAAAAACGCACGATTTTTCCAACTCCGCACTCAATCCGATGGTCTATGTTGTCAAGAATCTGATTTCACAGTTACGTTTTAAATAGAGGCACGACTGACTTGCATTCAGTTTGGAACCTTGAGGTTTGCGGTACCTGGAGTTACATAAATTTCGCTAACTTAGGATCACTAATCATCGATCAAGAAGCCGCACTTCCGTTGGATTTTAGATACTATCGTTATCACATCTGGGATAGTATAGGCACCTGACTCGTTGGTAGAGTATTTTACTTCAACCCCCTATTGGCTCCACATCTAGACCTCGGGTGTCCCCTCTTCCGGAGTGAGGGTCGTACCTCATGACTGAGTCACGCGGTAGATGGGCTGAACCAACACAGGGGCCACTTCGGATTCTGGCGGACGTCATCGGAAATGAGCTCCCATAACAAATTCCAGTATTCTGGGTACGCAGTCAGGTCCAGTTTCAGACTCACGTCGTGCGAACTGGAATTCCTGTCGCCCTCCTTTTGTTGTTGTTGAAAATCCTAGTTAAGTGTTTGTTGCGGACCCGGGGGTGTGGTGGTACGCCTAAATGCGGGTTTCACTGTGTCAGCCACCTGTGCCCTCTTCTTGACTTGACAGTGACGCCGGATCCAGGTGGTGAGAGGAGGAGAGAGGGCAGTAGGTGCGGAACAAGTTTACCATCACCATGAACGGGTGCCCGCGAAAGTCACCGTCCCTGCAATCACCCTGCTGTCGAGTACACGGTGGGCATCGTAGAAATCGGTGGTCGGGCTCTCATTTCGGAGTGAAAGTGGGGCATGAACAAGGGTTCTACAAAGCGATTGTCATTCCCAGATGGCCTGCAGTCTCCCTGGCTTGGAGTTGCAACAAGTGTGTATTGTCTTAGTAAGGAGGAATGAGAATCTTGAAACTTTATATTTGTCGAGTATCTAAGATACATCGTGTCTTTATGTAATCATAGGGTCAAAGGTTTCATGAAACTAAAACGGGATGGCGTACAGAGCTCAAAAGATAAATTTACCGTCTCGCAGATGTCGCGTGGCATTGTCGGAGATTCGGTTACTCGAATACAGTGGAGTAGCATACGGAATCTCGAGTCCACACCCTAACTAACCCAGTGGTTTTCAGGCTAAAAGTACCGCATCAGATGGGCGTATGAGCAGAGTGTCTGTGTGTTTAATGCCACGACGACGAAGGAAAGTGTGTTCGAGAATATGACTGCAAAGTCAGCTTGATTATCTACATTGTACCGATCGTATGACATTTGACTAAATTAATTCGCACCGGCAGGAATAGAATTAGATCGGATTTAGGCCAATCAGCTGTCTAAAATATAAGTCTGCTCTGAAGAGATCATCCGAACTTTATCCCTGATTCTCAATGGCCTGAAGACCTATACATGTTTCCTCGAAAGGTCACCACAGGCTCACGGGGTCACGTTCTCGCCTAGCCCACAAACGGGGCAGATGGGCAACTGCTCCAGCCACTTACCTGAATTATAGTCCCGCTTTATCGAAAAAATAGCAGACGAAAATTCCATTATGCGTGTTGTTACTTGTCCTTGCTAAATTCACGGGCTTGTTATTTTTTGATTATTTCTGTGTTTCAACCTGTCAAGTCAGAATCAAATGCAGTATTCCAAACAAGGTTTGTCCACATCTTCGCCAGTTCACGCTTCAAAATCTCAGAATGTACCGCCCCAAAAGGGACCAGATCCCAGGGACACTTTCTTAAATGCAACATGTCTGTCATTTGAAACAGTCCTTTTTCCACTTCTATAATATTTTTTTCCTTTTTGTTACTTTACTTTTACTAAATGAGTAAACTCAAATATTTTGCTTTCACAAGCGTCCTGTGTGACCAGGTTGTTTTATTCCACCTTTTGTTGTCAGGTCATACGGGTGGCTTTTCCAATTGAGGGATCGCCTTTATTTCACTGTCTTTATTCTTGCCTAGTTTTACTTGGTAAACGTACTCGACAGTGAAACATCAAGAAAATACTGTTCTTTAAAAAGTTTATTCCATTAAAATACAGAATTTTTGTGTGGTTTAATAAAGGACAGTTTTTGTACAGTTTGCATCGATCAGTTGGAGTTTTCCTTGGTTTTTTGTGTTGACGATTTTGGGCGTTTTGGTTGTGTAAGCAAGGATGTTGCGCCCAGCATGGGACATATGGGACCCTGACAAATGGACTGATCTGAAATATAAATATACAATGCTTTAGTTCAGCTATGATCCTGAACTTCAGAGTTCGTGTGCTCTCTGTCAAACACATCAGCACTCGTAAAGACGACAGTATTTTTTAAAAAAGGTCCTATGTGTCATTAAAATCTGGGCCTCTGATGAAAACTCAGCGGATTGACGCACTGGTCTGACGCCCGCGTACTGAATCTTGGGCAGTTACCGCTAGGGCAGCGACATTGGCTAAGGACTCCTTAAAACCGTCCTTTTTTATTGCTCCTGCCACTTCTGATGCAGGATGTCTGCAGGAGTTCGAATATTCGGGGAAAAATAAACAAATGCCCCCCGATGCTGAATTTGCCTCTTTCTCTCTTGCTAATGCACTTGATGGAAACCGGCTTCCCTGGAAAGTAAGGGTCTAAACACTTGAACAATTGAGGGAAGGTTTTAGGCATGACTATAAGCAAAACAAATCATCTTAAATGCGGCGACATTGCTGAGAACTTCATATCCGCCTTCATGCTGGCTTTCCGCAGAACGTTATTCAAAAAAATTTAAGAAAACCACGCATAACTAAAAATCAAATATTTGGACAAAACATATCTCAATATTTTTTCATCACCTGGTATAATCATAGCCAGATATAATGGCAGTTTCCAAAACATAACGTTATCTTAAATTTTATAATTCAGAAGGGTAAAATATATCGGTTATAAGGAAATTTGTCGTTATGCTATTGTGAAAACATCTTGCTTGATTATGCGCGTATTTTACGAGGTTACGTTTTAGGAAGTATGACATGTTTTTTGTTAAATATTACACATATTAAGTCTTTTAAGGAGCCTTCCCGTTTAAATCTGGAAAATACGGAAGAAAGTATTTTGGATGGTGCGTATTCTACATACTTTGTGAAACTTTTGAACATGCGGGATGTCAAAATATATATAAATATATATATATAGATGTGAACTATGGAAACGAATATTTCCAGCCCATTTTCCAGCGCTGTCCAGCCATTTTGTTTTTTAAAATAACGCGAATTACGCGGTCTGTTTAAGCCAAAATAACTCCAAATGTTAGGTTTAACATTTCCTATTACCCAATACTAAGACTGTAAGAAATAAGTCCTTTGACCATACATTGATATATCTTATGTATGAGCTGAGGCGCTAATATCATTATGCGACTTCGTTCTCTTTTTGTTAGCTGCTAAATTGGTTAAACTACCTGGCACTGCAAAACAGGTCAAAAAGTTATCTAATTTATGTTTTATTTTAAAAGGTTGTTTCATGTTGTCCACAACACCATGGGGTGACTTTTTTATAGCAACTGCAAATTTCATTCCCAAATTTTCCGTTTAATTGTGTCTTCTCAAAGAGATTTCCTTCTCCCACTTGAGGTCATTGTAATAAGCTTTAACGTCTCGGAGAAAATGCTTCTTAGCAAGTGAAATGTGAACATCAGCAAATTTCTAATTCGAGCTCTGTTTAAATGCAAATCTGTTCTAGGCTAAATGACTCCACCCAATCATCTTGGCAGAATGGTTGTGTACTTGAGTCATGCTGATAGGGTTTCAAATTACTGACTCACAGAATATGTACGTGATGGCCATATCCATGCCATATCTGTTCTCCGCCATGCAGGTGTAGTTTCCGTAGTCGCCCTGGCGTATGTTTTTAACAACCAACAGAGATATTATGTCCGTCACCTACGAAGCACAGAGAGAAAAAAAGGGAAGGCAGCGATTCAGTTGAACAGAACCCAATTCTTGTTAACGAGGTAAAAAAAGGTATTCATCTCCATACCGGATTCGCTAGAACAAACGCAACTCATGCGCGATTCGGCTGTCAGCCTTCGTGCAGCTGACGCTGGAAGTCGGGCCATTTGTTTAAGATGTGTGCCTGTTTCACCTGCCTGATAACACTTAATTGATAACAGTTGACCAGTTGAAAAGATATGCTTCGGCAACATCTGATATGATTTTTCCCGGCGTTTACGTAGAGGCTTGTTATGCCCTCTAGTCGTGCGCAAATAGCGCACGTCTTATCAGATTTTTTGGGATAAGTAATTAGAGTTCTTGTGAATGGGTTTACTGCCTGCACTGATGATATCATGCTTTGATATAAATTGGGATGTTGTTTTAAAACAAGCAACATGGACTGAGCGGCATGCACAAGTAAAACGATACCGTGAAGTTTTGGTGTCCTTTTTCAAAACAGAACATTTTCAAACACTTCGTTAACTTATACGAAGTGTTGAGAGCATTTTGTTCAGTTAGGTTAATTTTTCAGAAGAAAAACGAAATAATTGCTACCGGCAAATCTTTTGGACCGATTTTCGTTGTTAGTCTTTTCTGGAAAACATTTGTCAGCCAAATGCCTTCCTGTTCTAAATGTTGTTGTCCTGATTGGTCCTGTTTTTTACCTTCAACGTTTCAGTCGATATTAACACCGGAATTTTGTAATACCGGTAGTAGCATCTTTAATGCGCTACCGGATACTGTTAGTTCAGCCCCTGGGCTATCCGATCGTCCGGACTAACCATTCGAATCGTCTCCGGATGAATCGGTTGTTAGGTTATCTGTGCTCGACCTCGGACTGGCCCCCATTAAACTGACCAGGACCAACCCACGCTGGTCTGCGTGTAAGTAGCAACGTAGGGCCTGACAAGCCAAGGGGCAAGAGACTTCCGGCTGATAGGAATCGCATTAGCAAATCCCCTCTCCAGCTTCGGTCGTTCTGTCATTCCCGACTAACTCGGAATCCCCGTCATTGCAGTCCCAATATGGAATTGCTGAGAATGGCGTCGAGTTCACTTATTGCATCACAGAGCACCGAGTTAGAAACTGCAGCCTGTGGACCATGCAACGTGGGTTTTGGCAATGAGTACAAAACCCTGCTTTTCGAGAAGTTGGTCACTTATCTTATTTTTTCACACTGAACTCATTTGATAGCTTAAAAACTGCCCGAACTGAGACAAACCAACGATCTCCAACTAGGCGTCTAGATGTGCGTGTGTATGTATTTCGGTGAAAAAGACCCTCAAAAACCAAGTTTAAGATAAAATTTTAGGACAAGTTATGGACTATCCCTGGGGTGAGTTAGATTTACTGCATTTCTGGTGGTAGCAGTAGTAGTAGTCGTCCTTTTTTCTGCCCTACGAAGTGTCTACAAGGACCACTGTGCGTTTTCAATGCCCACCAGCTATGTAGACATATTGGAAGGCGTTGAATGCTGAGAACTTGCTCGCAGTATCCCGCCTCTGCCTTCTTGTTTCACTCTGACCCCCTGCATTCTAGGTCTCGGGACCCGGTTTCTTCGAGGATTACCACACTTGACGATCTTGTCCTAGAAATTATTTCGAGTTGTGCTTAATTTTCAAAGCTCTAACTGTCAGCGGACGGGCATAGTACCTTCTAGAGGACTTTTTCGTAGGCTAAGGTCTAAAATTCTCAAGTAGCAAACGCTTCGTCGAAGTTGCATTGTCAAGATGTCAAGTATACCGGTGCCTTCCTGAGCCTGGTTATCCGAGATTCCTTTCTGTCCCTCCTCCTCGGAGTACCCGAGGACTCGTAGGGTGAAAGTGGTAGAGCATCCTCACCTTCATCTTCACATTCCAAGTTTGAGCAAGCTCTAGATAACTATGTTTGAGGTTATGTGTCCGACCTTGAAGCTAGCAGGCCTTCTCTTCTACAAATGACCGGAATGCGATTATATGCGAATCAGGGTCCCACCAGCATTACTATCAATGTCTTTACACACAGATAAACTGCTACTCTGGACCAATAAAGTTTTTTTTCAATAACGTGACGTTTCCATTTATGAAATAGTCGGACGCAAGACACGGTTGGGATACGGCTTTTGGGAATTTTAAGAGGAAAGTTACATAGGCTGATTTAAGCGCAGCCCACAACCAATCAGATAGCCGCCAATAACTTTTATACTCCTCGACCTGGGAGCAAGCTTCCTGCTTCGCGCATCAGGGGAGATTGAAGGCAATGGAAAGTCATGTTTCGGATAAGAGAAGAAAATATGGACGTCCTGTAATACAAGTAACCTTGTACCAAATTCCAGGAGGAGTATCTAGTTCCGTGTCCTGACCACCGCGAGACCACCTGTAATACGGGAGTTCCTATCCCGTGTCTTGATCGGGATTGAACAGACTACAGCAGATTTGCTAGCTCGCGAAATGTTGAATATAACACTGAAATGCGTTTTGGACACGAAAAGGTTACTTAAGTTGGGCTGTAATATTAACAACCGTGCAGTATAATCCCATGATAATTCAGTCACTACGGGATGCCAGCTTCTGAGTGAACGGCTTTTTAGCCGTCTGCAAAAACAACACACTCTAAAAACAATTACTTAATTAGTATGCATTTTTTCTCACTGATTTTCGATGCCCTTATAAATCTGAATGTAGTTCATAGACAATACACATGAAAATGTTCATTCTTTCACACATTTAATAGGAAATTACTTTCGTCTCAAATTTTATGCTTGAAGGAAGGGTATGATCCGGTTTTTAAAAGTTTATAGCTATGCGATTTTAATACTGTGAAATGTCCATTCATAAAACATTGTGTCACTGCATTTTCTAGTGTTGCTTGTGAAGTTTACAATATGGCTCAGATCCACTACTAAATTTCATGAACCTCATATAGTCCTCTATTAATACCTTATAGAAATGAATGATTTTCCGTATACAGACAATGTACAGCTTGTAGTATGGAAACCCAAGATGCAAGTGTAACGGCAGGTCGGCTTCACAATAAATCGGGAATAAGGAAAGTTTTTAAAACCGAGTTATACCCTTTCTTTAAGTATAAACTTTGAGAAAGACGTAATTTTCTGCCAAATGAGTGAAAGAATTATTATTTTCATGCATTTTTTCTATTAAATATATTTATATTTATGAGCGCAACGAAAATAAATGATAAAAAATCATATTACTTAAGTAGTGGTTTTTACACGACATAGTTTTTGCAAGTGGCCGCAAAAAGTTCGTTCAAAAACCGGCATCCAGATTTAGCTGAATTATCATGGGATTAAACTACAAGGTGATTATTATTATAACCCTTCTTAAGTAATCCTTTCGGGTCCGAAACGCATTTCAGAATTTAAGCCGACATTTCATGAGTTAGCACATCTGTTGTATTAGCTCCGAACGCGCCAAACAAGCTCACTGCCGCTCATTCCGTTAATCCACCGCGATTGCAAGGTAAACTTCACAGAGCGCAGAAGAATATTGGCCTTATCGAAAAAACGTCTGAACACTGAGTTAGTTTGCAGGTGAAAAACGTTCTTTCTATGGTTTGGCTGCCGTCATTTCCTGCCGGGCAGGTTTTTTAAGAGAATGCGTTATTTTTGTGATACAGTTGACTTGATGACACGCCCAACCTTTAACCTACCGCGGCCTAGCCCGACAGCTATGGAAATCAATCGGATATGTCCTCTTCCTGAGTCGCTTGGTGAACCTGCTGTTGTCTTAGGGAAGCTAGGAGTCCAGTTCAGTCAACTCTACACGAAACAACATGGTAAATTACTGTGGGTGGGTTAACTCATGAAATATCAACCGAAATTCCGAAATGCGTTTTCGTTTCGAAAAGATTAATTAAGTAGGGTTGTAAAACTAGTCAGTCTGCAACATAGTTCTATAATAAGTCAGTTACCTTAGGATGCCGGCTTTCGACTGAACTTCCTTCCGGCTGCATGCAAAAATTATACTCTGTAAAAAATGACTACATATGAAGCATGCATTTTTCTCTTTGATTTTCGATGCCCCTAAAAGTCCGATTATATTTCATGGAAAACATGCACAAAAATATTTACTTTTTTTCTCATTAAGTAAGGATTACCTCTTCCTTTAATTTTTTGCTTAAAGAAAAGGTAAAATTCGGTTTTCAAAAACATTCATAATTCCCGAATAATTTTGAACCCGCTCTACCGTTGCACTTGTATTCGGGGTTTCCAAACTATAAGCCGTTCATTTTCCGCGCACGGAAAACCACACATTTCTCTACGGTAATAAGGGGGGACCATATAGGGTTCATAAAATTAAACAGTGTTTTTAATCCATATTGTTAACTTTACAAGCTGCATTGGTAAATGCAGAGATAAAACGATTTATGAACGCCCATTTCACGGTATTAAAAAGTTCCACAACTAGAAACTTTTATAACCGACTTATGTTCCTCCATTAGGTGCAAAATTAGAAGAAGTTTTTTAGCAAATAAGCAAGAGAATTAATATTTTTATGCCTGTTTTGCATGGAATATAATGGCATTTTCAAGGGCATCAAAAATCAATGAGAACATTGCATGCTGCTAAAGTAGTCATTTTTGCAGAGTATTGTTCTTGTATGTAGCCGGAAATAAGTTTGTTCGAAATCCGGCATCTTGAGACAACTGAAATATTATAGAATTATGTTGCAGGCTGACTAGTTTTACAACCCTACTTAATTAATCTTTTTGAAAAGAAAACGCATTTCGGAATTTCGGTTAACATTTCATGAGTTAGCCGACCTACTGCACTTCTTTTTATTTAGTCACCTATTCCCCAAATCTCCGGCAATTTCTATTTGTCGGTGCTACAAATGGATTTCTCTGTTTCTTCTACACCCAGCGTATCGGATGCCGACGGCCAGGAGAGAATTCACATATTTGCTGCCTGACTGCAAAGACAGTGGGGCGCGATTTTTCGTGCGGCCTCCATGGAAATATTGATCCCAACCAGTGCAGAAGCTGGGGACAATAAAGTGACAAGCACTAGCTACCGAGGACCGCTCTGCCTACGTCCATCTCTCAGACGGGAAAACTAATTTCCCTAACGTCTTCTAGTGAAAGAGGACCTCAAGAAGTCGTGTTTATAGTAGGCACTTTGGTTTGTCACGAAAATAGTCATCCGATAGCAAAGGACGCTAGCCGGCCATGTGCTCTCTCTACTCCCGTTGTATCATCTAAAGATCTTACGATTTACAATAACTGGCCTGTCTGATTAATTGCCAATCGAAATTCAGAAACGGACTTTGGAGTAATTAGGTGGGGTGGTGATGCTGATTGCCGTGCAGTGTAATTGCCCAGTTATTTTAATCGCAACGGAATGTTGGCTTTTTAATGACTTTTTTTCGGCCGTCTGCTAAAACCAAACTCAGTACATAAAAACTGCTTAAGTAGTATGAATTCTGCCATTGATTCTCGATATAAACTTTAAGTTAGATGTACTTCATAGTAAAAATGCAAGAACCTTTCTTTATTGTAGCCATTTAATGAAAATTACACCGTTTTAAAATGTCATACTCTTAGGGAGAGTATATTTAGTAAAAAAAATATTTTCAACCCCTTGTATAGGTTTAGTCCTGTTTTTAAGGTTTCAAATCTACATGCTACATACTTTATATGTAAGAAACATCACGCATTTCCGAATGCTTTTAAGACATTACATAGGGCTCCTCAAATTTTGTAGTAGACGTAGACCATGTGGGAAAGTGCGGAAGCAGCGTCACTCAATAGAAGGATTAGATACTATTTGAATTGACATATCACAGTCTTAAAGAATTCAAAATCACGCAATTTTTGCATTCGAACGTATTCTTGTTTAAAGTAGAAAATATGAAGAGGGCGTTATTTGCTGGCAAAAGAGTACAATAAACAATGTGTTTGTACATGCTTCTAATAAAATATGTTTACAGTTATAAAGTCATCGAAAATCAACTGGAAAAACTCGTTCTACACTAGTAACCATTTTTGCCGAGTTTAGTTTTTTCAGACGGCCGGAAAGAGGCCCATTAAAAGGCCGTCACCCTAGGGTGGCTGAAATATCTCTAGATTTTGCTGCTTGGCAGTCAGTACGGCGAACTACCCAAAGTATTCCTTTCTAATCAAAAACACATTTCAGAATTTTGACCAACGTTTCACGAGATAGGTCAGCTATTGTAAGTAACGTTTTCTGGTACCTGGTAACTGCTGTCTAATTTTTCCCGGACTGTTTACAACGCATTACCGTTAAGTAGAACAAAAAATAATATTGTACTGTATTCGACGTTAAGTCGCACATTTTGCTGCTCAATCGTCGACTTGACGTTTCGTTGACCTCTGCATCTTATTGCTCTCCTATAATGTCCGGATTTGTCCCAAAAACAATACCTGCTGTTACTGCTCTTATACATCAGCAAACTGTCTAGGCAGGTCCGCCAACTAGTAGTGGCTTGGCCTGAGGCCCCGTCTACGCGTGCCAAACACGCGCGCGGAGACAGCTCAGCGCTCGCACAGACGTCCAACGCATGGGCTGGGTAGGTCCCCTCTTGGTTGAAAGCAACAAGCAGCATTCTACAGAAGGGGACAACTGACAAGAAGAAGAAGAGAGACTGCAATGGATATTTTTGGCTAATTGACCGTCATCAGCCAGCCTTGAGCCCCGAATCCGCATTCTGTTGGTCAGAAATGCAACGCTCTAACCAATGAGCCAGGCGCTCGTTGCCCTGTCGATTGCGATTGGATATACTAAGTATGGTAGGGTGCAATCATCAATCGCGTTACGTGGTCTACTTGAACCGTTCTTCCTAGAGCCTCGCAAAACGACTATTAGTATACGCGTGCCTCACAGACACACCACGCGGTAGATGCGCTAGACCAACACGTGGTTTAGATCGGAATGTGACAGGCATCACGGGGAATGCGCACCCATAACAAATACGAAAATTGGACGTATTGGGGTTAGCTTGAATCCGAAGCGTACCCTCCCTCCCCGTTTTTTCTTTTTGTTGTGTAAATTCCTGGTCAGTTTACGTCACGCACTAGGGAGTGTGGTAGCACGCCTAGGTGCGGGTTTTCGCCGTACCAGTCGCCTGCGCCGTCTCCCACCGTTGATCCTCTTGACTCTGTCTTGACACCGGGTCTAGGTGCGAAAGTTGGAGAGGTTGAGCTACAGTATGTGGTTTAACTCATGAAATGTCAACCGAAATTTTGAAATTCGTTTTCGTTTTGAAAAAATTAATTAAGTAGGGTTGTAAAACTAGTCAGCCTGTAACACAATTCTATAATCCGTCAGTTACCTCAGGATGCCGCCTTTCGAATGAACTTCTTTCTGGCTGCATGCAAAAAACACACTCTGTAAAAAATGGCTTCGTAAGTAGCATGAATTTTTCTCATCGATTTTCGATTCCCTTAAAAATTCAATTATACTTCTTGCAAAGCGTGCACAAAATATTCAGTCTTTTGCTTTTTCAGTAGAGAATGACGTCTTCTCCCAATTTTATACTCGAAGAAAGGGTATAATACGGCATCAAAAAAGTTTCTAATTGTGAAATTTTTTATATCGTGAAATGGCCGTTCATAAAACGTTATGACCCTGCATTTACCAATGCGGCTTACAAAGTTAACAATATGGCTCAAATCAACTGTCAAACTTTATTAAATTCATATGGTCTTCTCTTAATACTATAGAGACAGTAGGGCGGGTGTAAAATTATTATGAAATTGGAAACGTGTTTGAAAACCGAATTATACCCTCCCTTCGAGTATAAAATTGGAAAAGGACGTCATTTTCTACCGAATGTTTTTCATGAAATATAATTGGGCATTTAGGGAAATCGAAAATCAATGAGAAAAAATCATGCCACTTAAGTCGTCATTTTTTCAGAATATAGTTTTTCTATGCAGCCGGAAGGAAGTTCTTTCGAAAGCCGGCATCCTGAGATAACTGAAATATTATAGAATTATGTTGCAGGCTGACTACTTTCACAAACCTACTTAATTAATCTTTTCGAAACAAAAACGCATTTCGGAATTTCGGTTGACATTTTATGAGTTAGCCCACCTACTGTAGAAGCAGCGCAAATCTACTAAATGAATTTGCGTGCAAGTCATCCTCCCTGCTCACAACCTGCTGTGGAGCACGTGGTGGACATCGTCATGCAAATGTAAAATAAACTGTAAAACGTTTCTCGAATATGCAGGCAAATCAGGATTAATCTTTTCGGCCTTCGTGCAGCTTTAATTCTCAGCGAAAGGCCGAGCGATTATCGAACTTGTAAAATCAATTCACTGGGGTCAAAACTGTCGCCTTAATACGAAAATGAGGATGCCTATCGACTAAAACAACAAACACTTACGTTTGTGCCCACCGCGCCGTAACTCCTTGTCTTTTCCAATTCATACCGATCGCTGTCATAAAGGGGTACATTATTTTCCTGGGGATCATACACACCCTTGAACCAGTAAAGATCTGGGTCCGGGTAGCCATTGACGATGCATTCCATCGTCACGTCGTAGTTTCCATCACGAGCCTAAACAGAAACAAAAGCATTCTCATCACAGTAAACCCCAATTTGCCCGATCAGATCAATGTAACTATCCGAAACTGAGTTTTCATAAATTCAAAAAAGACATCTAGTCAATTTATTCTTCGGCTGCTATGTGTACGCGGGAAGTTCTGGTGGTAGCAAGTGTAGTGTGTAGTGTATGTATGTATGTACAATATGTAGTAGGGACGTGGACCCGACTCATACTTGTTTTCGTTGCGGCCGCACATTCACCTCACGCATCGTCCTGGTCGGTCACTTGCGGATCCCTCACACAAATACCGGCGAACCAGTGCCTGGAACACCGCCATGCACTCGCCGCGTCAGCGTCAGCCGCCCTCATCGCACCCACATACTCACTCATCCCACGGGTCTATCACGACACATGCGCATTCACGAAAAACTGCGGTGGACAACCGCCGGCCACACCACGTCATCACACTTTTTCCCACCAGCACCCGCACCTCCCAACACCACCAACCACCACAAACACCCAAGTGCCACCTACTACCCAAGTGGGAAGTTGGTTTCTCGGCTCCTTCTCCAAGCGGCTGCATGTGTGATCCGAGTTTAAGACTATCAGGTTGCGCGGGCTCCGTGGCATGCAAGGCCGCCGACTGACGCCCAAACTCAGTCCACGCAGCCCTCCTAGTCGTGTTTGTTTGTGTGGAGTGGTGGACTGGTGGGCTGAGAGCCAGACTGTCACGGCTCCGTCTTAACAGGTCTCTCACGCATGTGGGGAGTGCATGGGCTTTATGAGTAATTCCTATCACTCTGACCAAAACGAAGGTCAGACCGACTGACAACACACCTTTCTCCTTCTCAGGATTTAATGTCAGGCTGCAGTAGCTCGTTCTTTATGTGACGCATGTGATACCCGAGCCACCCTTATCGTTGTCTAGCACGCGTAGACAAGATCTAGTCCTGTGTGTGGCCCGCGTAGACGTGCCGTTTAGCTTTGTCAGCCTCGGCGCCCGAGTCCGCCGTCCGTCGACTTGACGGTGTCGTGCTGTATGAGCAAAGGGGGTCAGAGGAGAAAGAATGTGATAGGTTCCGCGCAAGTCCATCTCGGAGAGTGTGTGTACTCTATGGGTAGGGCCTCTCAGTCGAAGACTTTTTCGTCACCTAACCTCGAACGGTGACGGCCCAGGCTAAATGCAGGACCGCCTGTCGCCCTTATAGGTCAAAAGTCCTGAAAGCCTGTGCTATGCCAGTATCAGCAAGCCATGGTTCTCGCAGTCTGCTATGCTGACACCCGGTTCCCCACCGGTAGATGCGCCTTCGCTCCCGCTGGGTACACAGGTTGTGAGCTTAGCTGTCCAGTCATAATCCTCGTCCTTCTGACCTGTCGTGTTGTTGTTGTTGTTGTTGATTAAAATCCTGACAAATTGCTGTGTGGGTGTAGCAGCCGCTCCAGTCCCCCTTTTCTCCGGCTGCGTTTTGTCGGTCGATGGCCGCGACAGCTGTTGACACACAGCCACCCCCGCCGGCTACCACTCAGACACCTCCGGTCCAACTTCAGTGACTGTCGGCTGACCTCACAAACTTTCATCACCTCACGCGCGTCTAACGCCCTGGCTTGATACCCGTGAGGCATTGTGTGCATGCGCCCCTATTCCTCCCCTAATTTGTCCAATCACACGACCAACACTCAGCCAGTCACCCCTCCTGCTGACCCAGACGCACACCCGCGTAAACAACACACACACCGTGACTGACGCTCTCCGTGAACGGACGCTTTTCTCTGTTGCAAGCAAATCGCCAACTTACAGCAACCTGCCCTGTGTACAGAATAAACTAGTCCTCACAGCTCGCTGACTTCTGACAGTAGACGAAACGAACTTATTGTGCGTGGTTTAAGTCGATCTCACATCCTTGACCGCCACATGGGGCAGGGGTTGTGGAGTGGAGCGCCAAGGTGCAGACTCGGCCGCGCCATTCTCTTCCGTCTGCCCTATCTCCGGCCTTTTTGACTCTGTCTCAACAGGGGCTCAGATGGGGGAGGAGAGAGCGCCATAGGTGCAGTGCAGGTCTACACTCCCTATTAACTAAGTCACACACAAGTCGTCGTGTCTGCTTCACCTTGCTGTGGAGCACACGGCTGACATCGTCTGATGCGACGATCAAACTGTCGCGGGGCACCCGCGCAGGGGTTACAACTGCTCCTCACGATTTTTAGCTGACACCCAACTCTCACATGTGGCTCCCCAAAGCTAGACTCTGTCACACGCCGGTAACCACCTCTACCGGTGGATTAAATCAGATGAGGGCATCAGGTTTTCTGTGTGCCCCTACATCCCGTAATTCTGCTGCCGGTCCCATCCCTCCTTCTCCCCCTCCTCCCGCTCTCCCCACTTCTCTCTCCTCCCCCTTCCCCCTCCACCTCAAAAAGTTCTTCGCTTAGGGCGACATGCAATCCTATAGGCGGCCCAAGCTAAATTGGGTCACTCTCCCGCTAAACCAAGCCGGGACCCATGATTTTGTTCGGCAGCCGTCTGGGATGTCTGAGCGGCCCTATTGAGGACGACACTGCTTACCCACTCGCGGGGGAAAGAGGCGAAAAATGTGCCCCAATAAAATACCGAGACCATATCATCTACACGCAGACCACGAATCGCAGATGAACCACTCATGAACAAAACAGACAACGACCTATGTGTCAATCTCTGCCCCACCTCGCGCGTTGCTGAAACTAGTTCAGAATGATATTACCGACAAAGACAAGGAAGACTGCAGTGGCCATTTCTGGCTTATTAGCCATCGTCAGCCAGTCATACCCAACCCCGAAGTGTGGAACACCCGAGGCTCGAACTCGCGATCTGTTACTTTAGAAGTCCACGCCTCTAACCACTGAGCCACGAGCCCGTTGCCCTGTCGGTTTTCGATCGGGAATATAAAATGGTAGTGGGCAACGGGCAGGGCAACGGGCTCGTGGCTCAGTGGTTAGAGGCGTGGGCTTCTAAACTAACAGGTCGCGAGTTCGAGCCTCGGGTGTTCCACACTTCGGGGTTGGGTATGACTGGCTGACGATGGCTAATAAGCCAGAAATGGCCACTGCAGTCTTCCTTGTCTTTGTCGGTAATATCATTCTGCCTACATCATGCGCCGCTGTGTGGCTGCTGGTTGGGCTCGAGAGAGAGTCCATAAGGCACAACGGAACGAGTGAGTTCCGTAAGAACGATCGGTGAGCGCCCCTACCATTGAAACTAGTTCGCTCGCACTGGCTGCCTCAAACGGGATACTGAGTCCCCGTGGAATCAGCGACTGCAACGACAGCGGCCTCCTTCTATCGCCAACCTGCGCAGAACACTGTCTCCTCCTAACCGACACCTTCTTCCGCATGCCGATGCGGAAGAAGGCGACCTGGATTCGTCCCACCCTCCCACCCACGATGGCAGCTCTGGCACCTGCTGGAATAGGTTCTCGTCCAGAGGCGAGAACGACAGAACGTCCTGATGGCCGGGACTATCTGCGACGCGGACAACAGCTGGAACGACCACCGCCTCATCTCCAATATAAGGCTCCGACCACAACTCCACAGGAGACCATAGGGTATGCGACCGCCAGGAAAGGTAAATACTGTCCTATTGAATTTGCCTACTCACCACTCCGATTTCAACAATCATCTATCCTGGTAGGAATGCCGGTCTCGGACGACGACCGTGTGAACTCCTAAATGCTATCTACTCCACTGCCCTGGACGTGCTCGGACTCGCACGTCGTCTACACCAGCGCTGATTCGACGTCAAAAACGCCGCAGACATCAGCAACCTGCTCGCCAAAAAGACCAGGCTGCACAAGGCCTACATCGACCGCCGGCCCGACGCTGGCAAAGTGGCCTTCCTCAGATGTCGCCGTCCTGTGCAGCAACAGCTGCGAGAAATGCAGGACGACTGGATGGCTTTCAAGGCTGGGCTGTGTGGACTGCAATGAGACAAATGACTTCTTCGCCCCGATCAAAGCGGTCGGCGACCCCGTAGTTAAAGGGACGGTGCCATTTCTCAGCTTTGGGGGGAAACAACATTTCTGACGGAAAAGTCGCAAAGTCTGAAGCGCTGGGCCGAGCATTTCTGAAGTGTCCCCAACGGCCCATCTACTGTCTCCGACGCTGCTGTCAGTCGGCTGTTCCAAGTCAAAACAAACAACTACCTGGAACTTCCGCTCCCCCTTCCAGAAACCATCCGAGTCGTGCATCTCCGGCGAGAAAGCACCAAACCCAGACGTGATTCCGGTTGAAGTTTACAACACGGCGGTCCCTAATTGGTGGACAAACATTGAACACTATTCCAGGAGATGCGCTGCTAAAGACAGGTTCTTTAGTATTTCAAGAGCGCGACCGCCGTCCATCTCTACAAGCGAAAAAGATACCGGCAACTCGGTGATAGCCACAGAGGAATTTCGCTGTTCAACATTTCCAAAAAGGTCTTTTCTCGCATCCTTCTCAACTGCCTTAACGGGCTTCTCTCAGAAGGCTAATGTGGCTTCTGATGATACCACGGGACGGCTGACAGTCTTTGCATCTCGCCAGTCGCAATAAAAGTGTCAGCCAATGTAAACTCAACCCTTCCCTACCTTCGGGGACCCGAAAAAACCTTCAACATGGTGAATCGCGATGGACTCCGGATAGTGGACTCGGGATAATGGCGCGCGTCACGGACAATGGTACCGTCTTAGTAGCATTCACAGTGACCAACAGAGTGAAGAAGGGCTGAGTTATCGCCACCACCCTCTTCAGCCTCATGTCCTCTGTCATTCTGATGGACACCTGTCGTGATGATCACCTTGGAATCCGCATCGCCTCCGGGAACGACAGCCATCTTCTCAATAGCCGGCGCATGTAGACCCCGACGCGTCTCTCCACGATTAATGTCCACGATTTGCTCTTCACGGAGGATTGTGTCCCCAACATCGTGACAGAGGCAGATGACCAACCCCTTCGCCTCCGAGTGCACAAACTTCGGACGGGCCACCAACACGGATAAAAAGGGGGCTATGCATTAACCGCCGTCCAACACAAGGTTGCTGAAATCCGCCTCAAAGGCATCCATCTGAAAACCGTGAAAACTTCGCCTACTTTGGCAGCACACCCACCCTGCACCAAAACTGACAAGAAGGTGGCTCACCGGATCTCGAAAGCCAACTAGACCTTCGGCTGGATGCGGAACGCAGTATGGGGTCGCCACGATCTCCACCTCGACACCATATTCAAAGCTTAGAAGGCTGTCATCTCGATGACACCGCTGAACGGGGCAGAGACCTGAACAATCTACGAGAAACAAGCGCGGAAACTCAATCACTTCAACATCAGCTGCATTCGGGCGATCCTAAAAATTAAGGTAACAGTAGGAGATCCCGGACAAGGAAGTTTTGGAACGGACCAGACTTCTTGGCTTCCACACCATGCTGAATAGACTGAAACTGCGATAGGACGGCTGGTGAGGATGAGCGGTGAGCAACTACCTGAACGACTCTTCTACGGAGACGTCGCTACGGGTGCTAGCCGACAAGGAAGTCAAACACCTAGATAAATTGCCCGAAACGCTTAAAAACCAAATCAAAACCGGAGAAGACCTCCACGGGACCGACCGGCCTGGAGAAGGATGCTGAAGATTGGAGCAATCGTTTATGAAGCCAACCGGCTTGCCGCTGTCGGAACCAAAGGAGCGATTCACAAGTCTCAAGCTTCTCAGATCCACAACGCCAACAGCCGACCTCTTCCAACATGTCGACACTTCCAACGAATTTTTCACGCGCATATTACTCACGATGGACATTTCAGGACCCAGTACAATTGCAGCTCAGCAATCCCAACTGCTGTATCTACAACTGCCCCCATCGTCACCCCTGCAGTGACATTTACGGCACCTGCGACAACGACCTCCCTCACCACCAATGATTACACTCCTGATGCCCCGCTGTCCCCGATCAGCTCCAAAATCCCCGCCACAAATCCACCGATGACGGCGACGACTGCCAAGTCTCCAATTAACGCCACCGGTGATAACACTCCTACTGCTTCATCAACCGCTACTTCCACCAACAGCGATGCGGATTCTGTCCCTACTTGTCCTTATTGTGATCACGCATTCACCCCACGCATTGGCCTGGTCAGTCACGTGAGTATGCGCAACAGCGAAATTCACCACAATATCGACATATTAAGCATACCTTGCCCACCTAACAACTCTCCCATCCCCAGCCCTGTCGACTCCCCACTCAACAGCACGACCACCACTAGCATCATAGCAGTCCCAACCGACTCGGCCTCTCCCACACTGCCCTACCGGCGAATGTGCAATCACGCGCCAGCCTGGTGGGTCACTTTCGAATCCATCGCCCAAGGACTGACAGACTAGTGCCTGGGGCACCAACATACGCCCATCGCGATAGCCTCAGTTGCTCCTAATGCCCTCGCATATTCATCCGTCGCATAGGCCTACCCAGTTATATGCTCTCCCACGAAAATTTATGGTAAATCAATGGAGATTAGACAACGCCAGACACAAATGAACACCTCCAACACCACGCTCTTTGAATCCTCCCCGATGTAGCTTCTCAGCTACATGCAAGATCCTGTGTGAAATCCTCTTGTATGCAAATGGGGAGCAGGTCGTGTGTTTAGCACACACAGACGGGTCATCTTTAACTCTAAGTTGATTGGCTGGCTCGGGCAGTCGACTGGTGCATGGGATAAGGTAGATCAAGTATAGTCGCCTCACCGTAAACAATTTGACGCACTTAAAGCCATCACAGCGTGCTTGGAAGGTTGCCAACTAATGGGATAACTGGGTCCTCGTAGGAGGAGGGAGAATCAGGCTGCCGTACCTCCCGTTTAATGGGGCCTTTATGGGACTCCCATTCGATTTGAATCCGAACCGACCCCCCTCTTTTCTTGTGTAAGATCCCGGTCAGTTTTAAGCGTTTTGAACCACGGGGTGTGGATTGGCACGTCTAGGTGCGGTTTTCTGCTATGCCAGCCACCCGCGCCCTCTCCCGCCTCCGGTCTTCTTGACTCTGTCATGACAATGGACTCAGTCCGGTGAGGGAGGAGGGAGTGCGATAGACACAGCGAAAGTCTACTATCATTATAGACTAATCCACGCGCAAGTCACCATCCCTGACCCACCCTGCTGTTAAACGACTGTTGAACTGCCCGCATGTTTGCCCATTAACCGCTAAAGTTAACTTTCTCCCCTCCCTGACGGTGTAAAAATTACCACCGTCCATGAGTAATGGGACACACCACTAAGAATTCAAATGCCCCGGTCTAGGCGACGAATGTGTTCTGCTATAATGTGACGTGATCGGAGTTAGACCGCAGGCGAAGAGAGGATGCAAATTGCACCGGGGTAAACTTGTGCGAACGGAGAGTCCCCTTAATGAAAATAGACGTGAAGCATAACCGACATTGATACTGGAATTCCTGCTGTCTACCCTCTCTTTTCGAGTTTATCACGTTATTTTCACCGGTTAAGTTCTTTGCGCGTTCTCACATTATGGATTCTTGGTTAAGTTTTTTCGCTGCAACCATTAAGTGCTAAAATATCTGCTATCGGCTGCTCCATGTCGTGTCCAAATACAACCAGAAAACAACAACATCCTAATAGCATCAACAGTCTTAGAAAGCCTATTTTAGCTTGAAATACAAACCACGCCCATACAAGTAAGATGCTGTAGCACCGTTTTCTGTGCCAGACTCGTAGAAGTGCGACCGTGTCAACAAGCCATCTGGAAAGACGATGGCTGTATTCCTCGGAAGCTTAGAGATTTCTTAGTTGTGTCTATCAAATACACTCACAGGGGGCTTTTGCGAGTGCTCTCTAACGCTGGTGTTGGGGAAGAGGGTCAAACAACAAAACATCTTTTAAAAAGGAGCCTTGCACGGTCCTTTGTTCGTTCCCGAGTGACGTCAATGTTCAAAGCGCTAGCAAATTCGAAACAATCTCATATTTGCAAATATTTTACTGATAAGCGCAAAACGGTATCTAGAAATCTTTCAAGCCCTAACGCCATGACTCTTCATCAACCACCATCCCAACTCGCATTTTCGAGATGATGATCATTTTTGAAATAATATATATACAGTGCGTGACCGATCTCATGAAATGTTTGCCAAAATTCTCAACTTCGTTTTCGATTAGGAAGGATTAATAAGGTGGCATTGTAATATGAATTACCATGTAGCATGATCCTATAGGATTTCGGGCTGGCCAGGATATCGGCTTTTGAATGCACTTCTTTCTGACCTCCCGCAGAAACCATATGTGCTAAAAAATAACTACTCAGGTAGCATGAATTTTTCCCATTGATTCTCGATGGTCATAGAAATTCAAATATATCTTATGGAAAACATGTACAAAACTATGCTTTGTTCTACTTGTTTTGGAAGAAAACCACATTTTCTTTATATTTTATACCCTAAGGAAATTTATCTCTCCGTTTTAAAGAAGTTTCCCAATTCCCGAATAATTTTGAGCCTGATCAGTTGTTGCATTAGCATTTAGTGATTTTAGTCTACAAGCCGCATGCGTTCCGCGTAAGGAAAATCGTATATTCCTCTCTGTCTTTAAGAAGATACTGTATAGAGTTCATAAAATTTTTTAATGGATACGGGCTATGTTATACACTTCACGAGGAACATTGGTTAACGGACACGTACGATGCTGTATATATGGGCATCGCACGGTCGTAAAAACCTCGGAATTAAAAACTTTTTTAAAATGCGAAAGATAACCTTCCTTGGGGTATAAAATATAAAGACAATGTGGTTTTCCACCAAAACACGTAAAACAAAGCATCGTTTGTACATGTTTTCCATAAGCTATATTTAAATTTCTATGACCATCGAGAATCAATGGGGAAAATTCATGCTACTTGAGTAGTCATTTTTTACCAAGTACGGGTTCTGCGGGAAGTCAGAAAGAAGCGCATTCAAAAGCCGATATCCTGGCCAGCCCGAAATACTATAGGATCATGCTACATGCTAATTCATGTTACAATGCTACCTAATCGAAAACGAATTTGAGAATTTTGGCAAACATTTCATGAGATCGGTCACGCACTGTATATCAGCGAGGAGGGACGACAGAGAATGCGGGTAGATTGATACAGTACTGTTTCGGGCTTATTCTGCCTTCATTTAGCCAATCCTAATCCTGTCCTGTAGTTGAGACCAGAAACAAGCATGCGCACAGACGCACCTGACGCAGTTGTTCTATCACTGGGGTTTACCAGATGGGTCATAAGCACTTCATCGAACCGAAGTTCATCGGTGCCTCGCCACTTACATATATATGCCTCATTTTTGCGAATACGCTGTTTGGAAGGCAATGTTTTTAGAAGATGATTGCAGGCACTGAGGGTTTCATCAATCTTCACCGAATAACATTCATCAAAAACCCGACGCCAACTCTATCGGCGCAAACGACGACTTCCACAGCGTGCCCCACGGATTGATGCGGCGTCGATACTTGCGCGTGGATTAATTTATAGTGAGCAGATTTGCATTGTATCTGCTACATTTCGGCCTTCTTACCCAGATGGCTCCGAATGAAAGGCGATGTCACGACAACCGGTGGCATGCGCGGGCGCAATGTCTGACAAGACGAAACGACCGTCTACGCGTGCCACAAACGATCCAGCCCTCACAACATGTGCCAGGATTTCATGAGGGCACCTCAGAGTTTACATCAATGGGGGTGTCATACAGGTCACGTCACGGAAAGAGTCATTGCAGTCTGACTCTCAGTCTTGAGGGGGGCCGATTTATCCCATAGGGTTGGCAACCTTCTAAGCCACGACTTTTTAGTCCATTGTGATAGATCCGAGCACGTCTGGCTTTTGACGGTGAGGAATGCACCGATGTGTCTTAGGGATGAGAACTCCAGTGCCGTGCTCTCTCTCGTTCTTTCCCTCTCTGTGAACTCTGCATTTTTGCACGACGAGGCCGAGTAAAAATGTGACTTTTTGGCTGTTTCTTTCGCGTTCCTAAGCAATATCAACATTTTCTACTGTAAACGTAATAGCATGCCTTTCTCTATACATTGAGACCATTTTCACTGTTTTTGCTCGCTTTTAGACTCCGTTCTTCGGTTATGAATGCATGGCAGAGCACCCATATAACTACTGATATTTTTTTGAAACTACAAATGTTCTGCTATTTCTGCTTCTGAATAAGTTATGCACATAAAATAAACTTCACAACAATTAGTGTTTCATATGTTCAGAAGTGGAAATGACCATTCGGTGGTGGTCATTTATGTGACATCAGGTAGAATTTTTCAAACAGCAAAACAATTTTAACCAATTTAGACGACGGAATCCCTATCTGCGTTATTACTGCACTTAAGGGCTCCAAATCGCACAGCTCTGATAATTTGACATCTAGGAATTAATAACATCTCAGGTTTTGTTAAAATAACCTTTGTGTTAGCAGGTTGACCACCACGGTTAACATCGGACATAAAATAAATTTTCAAGTTCGGCTAAACCTGTTTATTGAAACTCTCGCGGGCAAATTACTATTCCTTCAATAAAAGAGTCGCTCAAATGCGTAACCGGAGTTTAGGACATGTATTAGCATAGGAGTTTGCACGAATATATTCCAACGTTCATTTTCGCTAAACTCTACTGATATTTTACTTGATATAATAACTTAAACACAAGTTCTGCACAAGAAGAGGACATTTCATTGAAGGATGTGGATGAGCAAACAAAATACGCAACGTCAAAGGCGTCCAAAAAATCCCTCATCAGTTTCCGGTATCAGATTTCATGCCATAGGTCACGTACTGTACGTCCACCGGTGAATGGAAATTCATAAAAAAATCGAGTTGGCGTGCAACGGCAAATCACTGTTTGTCCTTGAAATTGGAATTGTCCTAGCAGGACTGCTGAACATGAGTTTGCCTGCATCGCAAGTACTTTCAGACCTGCATCATAAACGCCGCTTGATTGTATTTGAAATAGTTTCACGTTTAAAGGGTAAACACTTATTATAAGGGGCTGTTTCAGAACGGTCTGTTCCATCTGATTTGCCCGCAAGGGATTGCTGTGCTTTTGGACGAAACATGCTGGGCAGCCTTGATTAAGCAAGGTCGCTTCAAGTCAGGCAATTTCTACATCAAGTGTTTCCATAGAGTAAATGCTTCTCGTTCTTTGGAAGAGACTGTTGCCGAGGTTATTCTTCCGTCTGGCTTTTCACGGTGAGGAATGCGCCGATGTGCCTTATGGATGAGAACTCCAGTGCCGTGCTCCCTCTCTCTCTCTCATTCTTTCCTCTTCTATCGACAATCCGAGCCTACCAGCCCGCCGATGGTGGGGTAGGACGCACTGGAGGTCTACGTCTAAGGCATGT